CAAGGATGGGTTTGGCCCCTCATACACAGTTGTTGTGCCACCTTATCTGCGCACATACCCCGTCTTTCATGCATCAAAACTGTACATCCACCGTAATGTTAAGTCCTTTGACTACTGTGAAGACATGATTCCTCGTGCAATCGATGGCGGTCATGAGATCGATAGAATCAAACAGCACGTAGGGAAGGGACGTAACCGACAGTACCAGGTTCACTTTGTGTGTAACCCATTGGACAATCTCTACTGGATCTCCAAGAAGGAACTGGTGCGCAGAGCACATCTCGTTGTTGAAGCCTACGATCGACAAATCGCCTCTAATGTTGTTCCCAAAATCTTTGCAAAGCTGACTGCGACAGAGTACTCTCGAAATCTCTTTGCTTTACTTGCTTACCATGCGTTTGTCGGGGACTCAGACTGGGTTACTCGCTCGAAGGGACATCGCTCTTAAGGAGGGGTTAGTGTGATGACCCGACCAAACACGAACTGAGACACAGTTGATTTCTGAGTTTTGCTCACGGACTTAATGCCTTGCTGAGTTTCCTGCTTGCTACTAAGTTCTTTAAGCCTGTGTACATGCTTGCTGGTCTGCATGTCTGTGTGTGTGTGCACGCTTGCTGGTCTGCATGACTCTCTGAGTGCTGGTTGGCTTGAGTGTGTGTGTGACCCTCAAGGGCACTTGCTTGTTCGTTGGGCCCTCAGGGCCGGTACTTACCTCTGGCCGTGACATTGAGGATTGCAGCGGGGGAAAACACTCAAGTAGCAGGTAGGCCGGTTCCGCACCCTGAAGAGGTAGATGTGCGGGTACTGGAGACCGAGCAGAAGAAGACGAAAGTGGCATTTTGAGAGGCCTAGTAGTTGTAGGCTAGGCATAGGCGGGTACCAGTCCAACCAGTCTGAGTCTAGGGCCTGTACGGGCAATATTAGAGTCTGCAATGATGTTTCCCTCCAAAAGGGAGGAGGTACCTGGTGCTTGGAAGGCCGAGCGGCTTGGAAGTCACAGCCCAAGAGGCAAGCAGGCTGCTATATCTCCAGGCCGGGAGAAGAGCCCAGTCTCATTGTCGGTGTGCCAGTTTGGTGACACACTGGTTGGAGCGCTGGCTGGAGCAGCGCTAGCTTGGAGCAGCACTGCTGGGGAAGGAGCAAGGACATGGAGGAGGAAGAAGACCATGAGGAAGGGTCAGCGCCAGAGGTACTTACCTGCAGTAGAAGAGTGATTCGGACATTGATTCTGGTTCAGCCATTCAACATTGTACTATTAGTTCTTGTGTGGATAGTGTACATCATCTTCTTCTTCTTTCTTTCTTCTTCTTCTTCTCACCCTCTCTCTCCTCTCAAGTTCATTCATTTCATTCTGCAATTGGACGGCATTGTACTATCTGATGAATGGGTACTTCAAAATTGGCCAGGATCATAACAACGGGAACAATGGCGTCTGTGAAACCCCATAGGATGATAGGACACTTCAGAAGAAAAACAATGCTGATATTGAAGAGTTAGGTTCCGTGTGTATGTGAGTCGAGATGCGATGGAGCAGTTTCTGGAAACTGGCTGGTTCGTGTTGAAACAGGCAAAAGAAACGTGTCGTAGTTATATAAATCATAAATGGATTGGAGGTTTTTTTAACCGATTGGGAGCACATTTTTCATGTACGGGCGCATTTTCAACACTTCGAAAACTTAGCACTTTCGATACAGCACAACATATTTGCAAGGTGCCGCATTAAAAAAACAAGTGGACCCGCCGCAGGAGAGGGACGAAGAGGGAGGCGGGGCCGTTGTTGTCACACCGCCGGGGTTTTTTATTGTTTTTTTTTTTTTGTTGTTGTCATATTCTCTCTCTCTCCTATCCCATCGATGGAAGTAGCCTCTCTCTCTCTCTCTCTCTCTCTCTCTCTCTCTCTCTCTCTCTCTCTCTCTCTCTCTCTCTCTCTCTCT